ATCCTCATATAACTATATTTGCATAGGTACATGTCTTTATCTAGACCTCTATAAATGCCCTTTGCCTCCCAGCTCTTTCCTCTATTTCCCTTGATTTTCCTCCTGTCCCACTATCATGCTCAGTCCCCACCAGGGTTTCAGCAGTACCTCTTTGTTACATTCCCCTTGATCATGACTTATCAAGCCTCCCACACCCACCTCACCACCAATTTGGATCGCTTGTTGTTCTCTTGTCAGCAGACATCTATTATAAGCATTCCTTATCCTATAGATTAAAAGATGCTTAAACAAAGTTTATATTTGCATATGTCGTGTACCCTTTCTCTTTGTGAATAAAATCTTAGTTTTCAAAAGCTAATGTTGGCTTGTTAGAGAAGTGAACGATGGTAGAATGTTTAATCCTAAATCTGTTATGTGCACACATGATTACTTTATATCTTCAGAAGTTTTGGTTTATCTTGCTGGTTCAGTTGTTTTGATGGTTATCTCTTTATTTGCCTAATCTTTTCTTCCATGGAGAAGTTTTGCTCCTGGACACTATTCTTGGGGGTGAGATCTCAGAAGATCAGCAGGTACAGCCCATTGTCTTCCAGGCGGTGAGGAATTAGTCACATTTTACCCGTTTGTTAGCTAGCTCCACATTTGGGATTACAGAGATGATAAAAGTAGATGCAGGATTTTAATTTAGCTCTTCTGCCTAGTGGTAAAATTGTCATGAGGTGACATTTAAAAACATTTTGGAGAAAGAGTGGTTGGTTGTCGAGATAACTGTACAAGGAAAAACAAATGTGAAAAAAGGTGGTCCCTGCTCTTGGTCTGTCTTCACGCGCTCAGTTTTTGGTGTGGTTCATAATGGTCACAGTCTTGTTTCCCCCCACTATTCTTAAAATCGATTATTTTTAATGCTCCCACCACAGATTTACTCAGTGATTAAGGCTCTATATCACTCTTTGGGGTGGGGAGGGAGGGGGGCTGAGTCATTTTTTACTTCCTGCCTTACACAGACCCACTGTGAGTGGGAAGAGACTCGATGGCACATAACAACGAGAGACACTCATTTGTATGAAGTCATCTTATTAACCCAGGCATGTGTGTTCTGTGGTATGTGTCTAGAATATAACAGTGGCATCTAATTTTATATTACACGTATTTTACCAAACAAACAAAACCAACAATGACCACCACTAAAAAGGCATCCCCTTATGAAGGCCATTTGGCTAGAATGTCCATCCCCCTCCTGAAACTCCGGTCTTGGCTCACGTGGTCTGCCAGTGTCTCCTGGTTCCCTCACTGTGTCCCCTTGGTCTTTTCAGAAAGGTGTGCTTGCTGAGATGCAGTGAAATAGAAGCACACCTGCAGCAAGCTATGAATCTATTATTGAAAAGAAGAAGGACCTATGAACACAATAAGGAAGACTTGGTAAAAATGGAATCATGCCATGCTTTTCAAGTGAATAAGGAATACAGCCCCCAAGGAAGATGTGTGCAACATAACCAAATACAGGAGCTTTTAATGTGCAAGAGTTGTTTCCCGTGCACTCGATGAACCAGCTTCAGAAAGTATCCAAAAAGTAAGCCCCCAGTCGCATGCTTTCTAGGCACTATTACAATAATAAAATAAATACACATGATATGGAGATATAAATTAGGCTGAGGTTGGAGAGGAATCCATAGGTGGAGAGAATGAATTGATTGGCTGCTAACCAAAAGGTCGGTGGTTCAGCTCCACCCAGAGACACCTCCAAAGAAACTTCTCCCAGAAATCAGTCACTGAGAGCACTATGAAGCACAGTTCTGCTCTGACACACTTGGGGTTCCCACTGAGTCCTTCTCGATTTCCCCACAACTGGTTAAGTCTTCCCAGAGGCTAGAGCTGAAAGGAATAACTTGTGGAAAAACTGTGAGAGAGGTGTGCGTGTTCCATAGAGGCCATGGCCCATGCTAACGTAGGGTGGGATGGGTAGGGGTTCATTGGGATGGTGCATTAGTCTAGGAAGAGCAGGACGCAAGGGTCTGTGTGTGAGAGAGACCAGAGCGAAATTGGACAAGGAGATGGAATTCACACAATCTTGATTACTGAGCTAAGAAATTTGATCTTTATCTTGACATCTTTGGGAAGGATTTTAATTAGAGGATAGTTACAGGCCAGGATACCGTCTAGAAACTCATCTGACAGAGTGGAGACTTGCAGGGTGCTCAGAAGTGTTAGGACCGGAATCACTTAAGGGACTTTTGGAAGAAGCAGGTAAGAATGAAGGAGTGCCAGCATTGAAGCACTTGGCAGATGAGACCTAGTGACCTCCCATTTAGTAGTGGCATGGTCAACCACTGTGCCACCAGGGGGTCCTGAGTTGAAGAAGGGTCGTTAAAAGCACGCGAAGAGTTGTCCAAAGGCCCGTAGGCATCTTGCCTTCTGTCTGCCACATCATCTGTCTTTCCTAGGACAGTCACCCCCCAAGAGTGTTCTGGAGATGTGTACACTATAAATTGAAAACACCTCTTGGGGGTGTTAAATCTATTCGAACAATTACAGCTTAGTGTGAATAATTTAATTTAGTTAATTAGACATATACTTCTAAAAATGTTCCCAGGTGTAACCTTTAGCACAATTAAGATAACAAAAAACAAACCCACTGCATGCCCCTATAGAAGAGAGTAGGAAAAAAAAAAAAAGAACAGAGTAGAACTCTTCCGAGGTTGATTATAGGGACCCACAGTCACTACCACCAACTCCTATGTCAGTTTGCCGGATTGGGTTGGCTTGTGTGTTGCTGTTACACTGGAAGCTCCACCCCTGGAGTTTCAGATACAAGTGGGTGACCCAGGGTGAACAGATTTCCTTGGAGCTTCTAGGCTAGGACAGACTGCAAAGAAGGGACAGGCACCCCACTTCTGAGGGTGTAGTCACTAAGAGCCTTAGCAGTAGCCGTGAAATAGCACATATAGCATTCAAACCATTGCCAGAAGATGAGCCCCTGGGGTTAGAAGGCACTGAAATACAACCTGGGAGGACCTGCCATCTCAAAGTGGAGTGAACTTAATGGCACGAAGCAACATGAATGGAGTAAAGTTTTGGGGACCTTCATTTACTGCTGATAGGAATCATTGGTGGCACAATGGTTACACGTTACACTGCTCTCTGCAAGGCCAGCAGTTTGAAACTACCAGTAACTCCAAGGGAGAAAGACTGGGCTTTCTACTCCTGTAAAGCATTAGTGTCAGAAACTCACAGGGGCAGTTCTACCTTGCCCTACAGGGCTGCTGTGAGTTGGCATCAACTCTATGCCAGTGAATTTGGTTTGGGTTTTCATTTGCCGATGGATTATGAGAAGAAACAGCTGCCGAAATCCATTAATAATTGGAATGTGCTAGAAGTATGAAGCGAGCAAAATTGGAATTCATGAGATATAATAGAAGACAAATAAAGATCAGTATCCTAGGTATTAGTGAGCTGAAAAAGACTGCTATTGGCCATTCTGAACCAAATAATCATATGGTCTACTTAAATGGAAAGGACAAATTAAAAAAGGAGTGACATCACCTTCATTGTCAGAAAGAAACTTCAAGATCTATCTTGAAGCACCAGTTTGTCTGTGATAGGATAATATTTATATGCCTAAAGGAACACTAGTTCCGATGACTATAATTCACATGTGCGCACCAACCATGAACCACTGACGTCAGTGATGAAGGAGAAAACTCAAGAATTTTACCAACGTTTGCAGTCTGAATTGATCAAACATGCGTTCAAGATTCATGGATAATTCTCCGTGATTGGAATGTAAACGTTGAAAACTAAGACAAAGGATCTGTAGTTTGATGATAGAAACCATACTGGAGATCACATGATAGAATTTTGCAAGATCAATAACTTACTCTTTGCAAATACTTTTCTTCAACAACCTAACAGTGACTATACCCGTGGACCTCAGCAGATGGGATACTCAGGAATCAAATTGACTACATCTGTGGAAGGGACGATGGCGACATTCAATATCATTAGAGAAAGCAAAGTCCAGGGCTCTGTAAACTTGGATATAAAGGTTTATAGAGCCGATCAGTTCTTCATCCAACAATTCATGCGCATGTCGTTTCACTCCTCTGCCTTCAATCCCACAGTGAACATCACTTACTCCATGTCGCCTCTGTGTCCTGTTTCCATTGTTGTTCTTCCCTAACCTTTCTGACATTTGTCCTACAACAATGCTGCCATTTTGATCTGGAATGGTTGATTAGTCCAAGGTGTGTGTATTTCATTGTTCTAACAGAGGCCTCTATTATTTGGCTGAAAATTGAGTTATGGGGGTGGATTCATGTTCATACCTAATGGATGACTAAGGGCCATCATCTTGGGGGTTCCACCAGTCTCTATCTGATCAGTAGGTTTGGTCCCATGATTTTGAATTTTGTCCCACATTTTATATCCATTCTCTCCAGGATTTTCTAATTGTGATCCCTTGCAGAGAGAGGAGAGAGAGAGAGAGAGAGAGAGAGAGAGAGAGAGAGAACGAGGTAGCCGGGCACCATTTACTTCTGGTCTCAGGCTTGTGGAGACTGATGTTTGCGTGGCCCATTAATCTACTGGAATAATTGTTTCCATGCATTTTTACATTTTCATCACCCTTATTTCCTTCAGACAGGGAGATACCAATAATTGCACCTCAGAGGCTATTCATGAGCTTTTAAGACTAGTTGCTACTCTTCAAAGTAAAATGTAGAATTTGTCTTTGTGGATTATGTTATGTTGATTGACGGATATCCCATGAGATACTATGGTCTGAGCCCTCGGGCCCAGTGACTTATTCCCTCAGCGTGTCTGGTTTTGCATAAGTTTTTATAATTTTGCTCCTTGCTTGTGCTACCACATTCATGGATATATTTGCAGCAAAAGTAAATATCCATGTATAAATAACTCTCTGACAAATCTCTCTATGCTTTTGTGTGAACTGAAATTCTCCTTCCCACATCCATTCGGCCTCCATGCCTGTCCCTCCATCTCCTTGCAGATCACTGTCATCGCAGGATTGGGCATGTCACAGTATTGGTATCTGTTGCCTTTAGCTCTTGCACTCCTCCCAGTGTCTTCCCTGCCTCCATTATCTTTTTACCAACCTCCCTCATATTGGGTATTGCTCAAAAGCAAATGCAAATTCAGAAGCTAAACAAAATTAAAACAAGTCAAGGAGAAACAAGAATATGAGTACAGCCCACCTGAATTTAGAAGTCATTTCAAGAATAGATTTGATGCATTCAACACTAATGACTGAAGATCCACGTGGGCTGACATCAAGATCCAGGTGAAATATCGAAGGATTCGATGGGCAAAATAAAAAGCCAATGAAGCTGGAAGCACTTACTCATCAAGAAATTTGGAAGACAGCGACTTGGTCAACTGATTGGAAGAGATACATATATGTATTTATTCCAATGAAAGGTGACCCAACAGAATGCTCAAATTATATGAACAATATCATATGCAAGTAAAATTTTGCTGAAGATCACCTTCCAAAGATTGCAGCAGTACATTGACAGGGAGCTGCCAGAGGTTCAGGCCAGATTCAGAAGAAGATATACAAGGAATATCATTGCTGATGCCAGAAGGATCTTGGCTGAATGCAGGGAATACCAGAAATGTGTTTACTTGTGTTTTATTAACTATGCAAAGGCATTTGGCTGAGTAGACCATGACAAACTATTGGTATTCTTGAGAAGAATGGGAATTCCAGAACACTACATTGTGTTGTTTTGGAACCTGTCAAGAGGCAGTTGTGCAGGTGGAATACTGAATGGTTTACACTCAAGAAAGATGTGCAACAGGGTTGTATGCTGAGCAAATAATCAGAGAAGCTTACTTAAGTGAAGAAAAATGTGGCATCAGAATTGGAGGAAGGCAGTTTAACAACCTTTGATATTCAGGTGATACAACCTTGGTTGCTGAAAGTGAGGAGGACTTGCAGCATACCAGTATGTTGATGAAGATCAGGATTTCAGCCTTCGGTGTGGATTACAGTGCAATGTAAAGAAAATGAAAATCACAGCTCGACCAATAGGTAATATGGTAAATGGACGTCAAGGATATTGCCTTGCTTGGATCCACAATCAATGCTTATGATAGAAGCAGTCAAGAAAGCAAACAAGGCATCTCATTGGGCAAATCTCCTTAAAGTGCTAATGAGCAAAGATGCCACTTGAAGACTGTGGTAGTTACATAATCTGGTGTCAATGTGGGACTGGAGAGGATTAAGAATGAAGGAGTGGAGTCTAGTCTATCAATTGGTTCATAGCCAATGAGGCCTCTGTGTGGACAAGGCCTTCTCCAGAGAATTCCGGGAAATCCTGTATTTCCTCCTTAGGAAGACTTCTTTTACCCTACTCACTTCCTTGGAGACTCTCTACTGACAAGGCTCACTTCCTGCGAGACATCCCTGAGGAGAAGCCACATGGACCTACCCTGATGCAGTACTGGGAGAATCCATTTGGAGACCACTGCCAACACAGAGATACTTACAACGTCACTGGATCCAAAGACTTTCTATCCACTGGCCTATGATTGTCCTGCATTTGGCATCACTGCATGTGTTTTGTGTGTCTGAAGAGGACTTTATAGATTGGTATCAGACATATGGGCTAATATCGGACTAATGGGCTTGGACTGGACTGGGTTGGTATGTTTTCTTAATGTACATTTACCCTTTATATAAAACTCTCTCTTATACACATATGAGTGTCTATGAAGTTGTTTCTCTAGTCTCCCTGGACTAACACAAAGACTAAAGTTCACTTAATGACAAAGGTGCCCCAGAAGGTTGGAGAGGGATTAATGTATATGAATTATGGTGTTGGTGAAGAATACTGAATATACCAGAAACTGCTATAACTAACAAATCTATCTTGGAAAGACACAGCTAGAATGTTCCTTAGAAGCTGGGATGTTAAGACTTTGGCTTATGTACTTTGGACATGTTATCAAGAGAGGCCAGTTTGGAGAAGTACATCACACTTGGAAAGGCAGAGAAGAGAAGAGAAGACCTTCAAAGAGATGGATGGCCACAGTGGTTGAAACAATCTTAGGATGGCACGGAACTAGGCAGTGAGTGTTGGGCTATTCTGTAGTTCGGTGGTTATGAGAGGGAACTTACTCGTTATGAAGTGAGACCGCACCGCATCCCTGAGCTTGGTGAGATAACCGTAGTTGAGATTCTCTGCAGGCTTTATAAGTTGTAATCTTCAATTATTCTGTCATGGTTCAGGCAGCCATGTGTTGATCCCAGAAAGGACCTAGGATAGGCCTGCACTGTAAAAACCACCAGCCTTTGTTCTCAGATTTGGCCCCCATCTTTTGTCCTTCTGTGTTCTTGACTCCCAGGACTCTTAATAAGCTATCACCGCCCCCCCCCCCTTTTCCTTTATGTTGATCTTGGAGTCAGGTGAACTGATTTCAAGACCAACTTCTAACCTTCAAAAAATGTGATCCTTGGCAAATCACAGAAACTCTAGGGGAGACTCAGTTTCTTTATGCATGGGAATTGGGAATAATGATACCTTCTTTAGAAAGTGCATATGAATATATGAATACACTTGAGTATTGATATATACAGATATACGTATAATTACATAATTTATACATATTTTAGGTTGTAATATTACTATGTTACCCAGCCTGGGTTACAGTAATTATACCTATAGTACATTGCTTTGCACATAAAATGATCATTTGATAAATTCCATTATGCATGGTAGAGAAAAATAATATTGAGTATTTATTATTTACTATGAAATAATTGAGGCTTGGAAGGACTTAGCAACTTGTCCAAATTTGTATCATGTGCAAGTGACCGAGCCATAATTGGAATCCTCTATGCTGGCTTCCGGAGGCGCAGTGGCAGAGTGGTTGGGGGGGTGGGGAGGTGGGGCTGTGATTCGCAAGGTCAGCAGTTTGAACCCATCCCCTGCTCCCATGGAGAAAAAGGAGTTCTAAGGAGTTGCACTCTCAGAAACTCACAGGTAGTATTACCCTGTCCTATGGGGCTAATGAGTCAGCATCCACTCGATGACAGTGTGTTTGGTTTCCTTTTGAAGTGCTGGCTTCACCTTTTCTGTAGTTCATAAACGAGTAGATGTTTGTGCTTTTTGTTAAGACTTTTTGATGCCAGCTGCCAGAGAGCTGCTCTCCACAGGGATGCTCTGTGGCTCCAGCAGACAGCCTGTGAGTTAAGTTAGCATTACCTAGTGAGCATTTTATAGCTTTAGTAAAAGCCAAATAAATAAATAAATGAAATAGGCAAAAAAAGAAAGAAAGAGAAAGGATGCATAAATTTCAGAACCAGACCAGTTTCTGTTGTATTTTATCAGGATTATAATTTAGACAAATTACTTTACCTCTTTCAACTTCAGTTCTCTCACCCATAAAATTGAGGCTCATAATTGCTACCTCAAGTGTTGTGAGCTAATGCACCCTAAATATTTAGGAAAGGCATTGCTTCTGATAGGCCAATCAATACATATTATTACCATCTCTCTCTGGCAAAGTGAGCATTTTTCTTTTGAAGTTTCCATTCATTGGGCAGCAACCTTATTCTTAAATGAAATGAACTATTTTCCACTAAAGGTGTGATAAATTATAATACTATAAAAAGCAAGAATAGCAAACATTTGCTGAACATTTATTATGTGCCAAGACCTGAATAGGTGTTTTACTTATCCCACATAATTCTCACAATAATTCTTTGAGTCAGTGTTATATTATGTGCATTTTGCAACTTGAATTATGGAGAGGCTAAGGTAAAACAGCTAGGAAGTTGAGATTTGAGTCCTGGCCCATTGATTCGAGAGCTTAGTCTTTCAACCACCATAGACCGCGAGAAGTCCTTGGATGAAAGAAGAAACAGATAATTCAATGGAAACAGGATTGGTAGGTTTGAGATCCAACTCTCTTCATATGTCTGCCACCTCTATTGGGCTGTATGGCTTTGGGCAAGTCATTTCACTTCGTTTGGCATGGTTTCCTTTTTGATCAGTGGGACATTAGGACTACGTGATCCTTTCAGTGTTTCAGTTTCGGGTTTCTCTATAATAATCCTGCAGGACTACATTTAGAAAATCTTCTGCACTCTGGCTGAAAGATAATTCATTTGTTACAGAATTTTCTGATGCCTTCTGCCTTCAAGAATCTCAAGCTGCGCTGGCGATAGCCTAAGAAGACTGCATGCTGTTCTCTCTAGATGCCAAGCCAGGCACACCCAGAGCCTCGGAATTCAATCCTTCATGGAGACCACGTACCAGCAGGAATGGCAGGGGAAGAAATTGGCACCCAGATGGTTCCTCGGCGTGAAGTTCTCTCAGGACATGGGCCGACGCGAGAACACCTGGTAACCAGGCTCGCCCTCTGTCAGTCATCCAGTGCAGGGCAGCATGGGGCACATTCGGAGGAGGAAGCTGCTGGCATCTTGCCTGTGCGTCACAGCCACCGTGTTTCTGCTTGTCACACTCCAGGTACCCAGAATTGAGGTTGCAGAGTGTTGATTCCTGGGCATTTGCCACCTCCCCACACCCACCCCTTTCACTCAGAATTCCAAGTAATTCACATTTCACCTAATTTCTCAAGATTTTGGGCTTTCTAACTGTCTACAGCAGAGAAACTACATTTTAAAAACAACAACACAAGAGTTTTAGTGCGTGGGTCTGTCCAATAGCAATAAATCTGGGGTTCTGCTGGTGACTTTTAAGCAGTAAGATTGGGGGTTAGCTTGTGACTTTTATAGAATCCTGGGTCCAGTGGAATGGACCATGATAAAACATGTTCAGTCTATTTTGTTGGATCTAAATTGGATGACTTCCTCAATTTTTGCTATAGTTGTTACATCTAAATGATATAATGATTCTTGAAACAGCAAGGACTATTCTGAGAACAAGATACCGCTCATTTGTTTATTTTTACAACAGGCATAACACATATTGCATACAGTTTTGCAAACCATGCAACTCTCTCATTCATTAGTTTCCTATGCCTGTTGTGTTATATGCATATACATTATTTACATGTGTGCATTGTCTGTGAAAAATATAGTAGTTTGTAGTAAGTGCAGAGCACAGACATGTGCATTAATCAATTTGTCATTCTCACATATGCTACCAGACTCAAGCCTGTTAGGCTTAATGAAAAGAAACATTCCTTTAGCCTTCCTACCTATTCCCTTTCATCAATATGGTGTGGTGAATTAGTTAATAAGATTCTTCTAGTTACAGTCTTCGTGAATCCTACAAAATGACTTATGCAATAAGGTTCTCTGACCACCAAGGGATTGGACAACTTGCTGTTGATGCAAATAAAGTCTATGGAGCCTGTGATTGTTAAGGTTATGTGCCAACTTGGCTGGTCCATGATTTTCAGGAGATTGGCAGTGTGTTAGGCCTGGTTGACTCGAGAAACAAATCCAATGCCACTCATAGGTGTAAGGAAGAGCTTTATACCAAGCAGCTTTATATATCAGGCAAACACCCCACCCCAGTCCAACTCAAGTCCATAAGTCCTCTTCATATTCACACAATCACATGCAGTGATGCAGAATGCAGGAAGATCACAGGCTGGTGGGTGCAAGGTCATGTGGATCCAATTGCACAGTTTATCCCAGGGCTCTAGCAGGCTCAGAGTGGTTTGCCAGAAGGAAGGTGAAGGCAGAAGGCAGAGCGAGAGCGAGAGCGAGGGAGAGAGAGAGAAAGAGACCAGTCTTCAGGGAGCGGAAAGGGAGTACTTGATGCTGGAGACGATGGAGTGAGACAGCAGTTTGGGAAAGTTGAACATTTGGGACATCTCTAACCTCTACCTCAGAGGAAACAATTTTGTGCCAATCCTTATAAAATAAATTATTAGCTCAATCATTTCTTCTGGACTTCTTTTGTTTATTTCAAATTGCAATAAAACTTCCACAGTGCTAGCAAAAATATAGATATAACTTCAGATTTACTTTGCACCCACTGAAGTACCTCAAAATCACAAGGAGTTTAACAGATGATTTGGGCATGAGGCATGAGGTTGTGGAAACTAAGGAGTTCTCTGGACTCCTCACACTCTACAGCATATTCCTTCTCTTTGATTAGGATTTAGTGAGGCAGTGCTTATACCATCATATTGGCGGACAGCCTTATCATGTTGGGCTTCTTCCATCTCTGCTGCCAGAGTGGGATCACAAGGAAGCACTTGACTCTCTTCCCTGTCTTGAAGGTACCCAAGTCCTGCTTGTGAAGTGGGGACTGCAGGCTGTTGCTGCTTTTCTGTGAGAAATTAAGAGACCGTTGATCTCATTAGACATTCTCCCTGGCACTGGTTCCAGCTGTGAGTAATGGCTGAGTCTAAGTTCACAGCTGTCCTTTGATGCTGGAATGAATCGCCATGCTCTGGGCATCGTGTAACTTCTTAGCTTCTGGAGCACGAGAGGTGATGTGGTGACTGGAGCTGACCCTTCGTTGAATCTCGGCTTCCGTTTTGATGCTCAGAGTAGGGTCTGTGCTGTCTCCCAGTCCTCCAAGTACATTGAATGACTCCGTGGCCAGTGTTTTAGAGACTGAAGAAGGTACGCCAATGCATACATGCATGACCTTTCCTGGTTTTACTGGTTTATGAGCTAGGTAGATGAAATAATTTGCCGCATGAGTTGGGTAAAGGCAGGCTTTAATAAAAAATCATGCCATGGATTCTATACGAGAAATTATTTTAGCAGTAGCAATCTAAACACAAAACAAATGATGCCAAACATTGTAGTTCTGAGGAGAAAATGCTTTATCTTAGGCATCTTTTTTCTATTTTTACCTTTTTCCTGATCATCTATAACTACACTTTAAACTACGATTTGCAAATTTTTGGAGTGCATACTTATCTTTATCTACTTTTGAATTTTGTTTATTTTTTAACTGCACAAATAATTCATGAATGCATTTGGCATATTTTAAGGCAAATCCAGGATGTTGTATCATTTTGCTAGGTAGGGTATGATTTACTATAATTTATGCCAGATAGGAATGTAAAAATAATAATATAGCCATAGTACTATTATAACACCCAACAAAAGGAACTATAATCACTCAGGATTATCTAATTCCTAGGCCATGTTAAATTGTTGGCAACTATCCAAAGGAATTTTTTGTAATTGGTTGGCTTGAATCTAGATTTAAACCTTTACATTTATTTAGCTGTGAATCTTATGTTTTTGTTTCCTTTTTTAAAATAAAAGTTGGTTCTGCCCCACTCTATTCAAGGGCGTGGACTTGTTGAAGAATTGGGTCATTTGTCCTTTCGCATTCCCCACGTGTTGGCTTTGGTTGATTTTATCCTTGGGCTTTTGTTCATGATGTTCCTCTGTCCCCCATATTCCCTAACACCCGCTAGGGATATCTGAGGCAAAGATTTTTTTAGATGAAAATGTTGCACAGAATCATTTCTCTTTAAGGCTGCCCTATCACATGGAAATGAGCATAACCCTTACAAAGTAGACATTGATCAGAAATGCCAGGCAGACGTTACCTGTAAGGGATATTCCACCTGTCCTTAGGACCTTTTTTCCCCAGTTGTTTGTGGGGGAACTGGCACGGGGACCATGTGAGGCCTTGTCAGGCTTTAGCAGGGAGAAGGAGAACCCAACTCCACGCTACCCAAAGCCCATTGCCGCAAGTCTTCACATTCACCCCTCCTTCATTCTTCTTTACCTTTTTCCTGATACCAGCCATCTATCACTCGGCACTCTGCTTCTCTGCTGGGTTTTATAATTCCTCACAGACAATACAGGTATGGAGTTTATTAGGGATGCGCACAGGTTATAAAACATTAAGGACACAGTTCTTTGCCCATGTCTCAGCGTGCTGGCAGGCCTGCCTCTCACTGGTCCTTGGCCTGTCATTCGCACGGTCCTTTTGCTTCTGCCTCTGTGGGCCAGAGAGTGGGCCAGCTGCTCTGCCTTCTGGTCTGGGTGCTCTTCCTCCATTCTGCCTCCTAGTCTTGGCTCCATGGCCTCTGCTACTTCAGACAAAGATTTCACACTTGCTCTGATCATGATGTGACTCTGCCTCTTTGATGGTTGTGGGAGTCTTGTTACTGCTTCTGGCTGCCTCCCTTCTGTCTTACTCAGCAGGATAAAAAAGTGAACAATCCCAAGGTACAGTCCTCTATACCTGAATTGCATGTTCTTACCCACTCACAGGGTAGGCGTTACAAAGATTAAGGAGAGAAGAGTCCCATTCAGTGATTTCACTGCATCACAGTTGTATGTTGGAAAGAAAAGTGAGATAGATGGGGTTTTCCAAGACCATCGAAATTGTTACCAAGTTCAATGATGGGCTTAAATGCTGACTTTGCAGTTAGCAGCCCAATGCCTTCCCCATACCGTCACCAGTGACCCCATAGGACAGAATACACCTGCCCCATAAGTTCTGAGCCTGTACATTTCTACTGGGGCAGACAGTCTCAGCTTTCTCCTATAGAGCAACTGGTGGATTTGAACCTGCCTTTCAGATCGCAGCACAATGTTCAACCCACTGTTACTGTCACAAAAATGCTGAGAAGTCTTTTGTCCAGGGTTAGCTTTCTTTTTTGTTTTAAGATATGGTTGTTGTCACAGATCATCCTGTACAGGATTTTAAAAAGTGAATGCAATTCCTTACTCTTTTTAGACTACTGCTTGACTTTCATTTAGTGGTTCTTACTATTCTTTTGGCCCGAGACCACTTTGAGAATCCAGTGAAAGCTATGGACCTTCCCCAAGGAGTTCAGACTCCATGGGCCTCATGAACAGTTAAAGACCATTATTTCTAACACCAAAAGTCTTGAGCATTTAAAAGACTCACAGCCCTTGGATGCTGAAAAGGAGGCATGGGCCACACCGGGACTATTTCTGGTTGACTAATGGAGGAGCTCATACATAATATTTTTATAATGTCCTCTCATGTAGCCTTAAAATTGTATATGAAGGTATGAGCCCCTAATAAAATGTTAAAAAAATGCATATAAATAAACTACTTTATTTAACCTGAAAAAAAAAAAAAAGAGAGTGGATATATATGGTGAATGTGTGCAACACTGATGTTCACCTGTCCTGATTTTAAACCAAAAAAAAAAAAAAATTGTATATGAAGGCAGTGCTATGTTTCTAAGGAGCCCTAGTGGTGTAGTGGTTATGCATTGGGCTGCTAACAGCAAGGTTAGCGGGTTGAAACCACCAGTTGAGCCCCAGGAGAAAGATGAGACTTTCTACTCCTGTAAAAAATTACAGTCTCGCAAACTCATGGGGACAGTTCTACCCTGTCCAGTAGGGTCGCTAGGAATTGGCATGGACACCAGGGCACCGAGTGAGTGTTTCCATGCCACCACTGCTTATCAGATTACTGCTCCTGCCTGCCTGAATCCAGGGACTCAGGCTTGGAATAGCTCAAAACAAATGAAAAAATGTGGTTTTAAGTGGAAGGACTGGATGCTCTGTATACATGTTCTGTTGTTGTACCATCAAGTTGGGTAAGGCACATAGCTCCCCAATGTAAGCAGAATGAAGCACTGCCTGGCCCTGAACCATCCTCACCATTGTGTGTGCCCAGTGCTGCAACCACGGTGTCAGTCCATCTCACGGAGTGCCTTCCCCTTTCCCACGGACCCTCGGCACGTTCTGTGTTGATAATAAGAACTCAAAGAATTTTTGAGTTAAGTAATACGTCATTATATCTATTTTCTAGTGGCTGTCAGAAACAGTATGTCTATTCATGTATGACTTCTTTAACTGTACTAAAAATAAACCAACTGGTAATTTACAACTCATTTTCCCCAGAGAATAAATTTTACTGATAGTTAGGTAATAGCTGTGTTTACCATGGATTTCATTAAAAGGCAAATTTATTTCTCTATATTGTTTATGTCTAGGAAATGGAGAAGAAGTGTATTTCTTGTAGTCTTAAGCAGAATTTTTAAGCTTCTGTGTGGGTAGACACTTGGCGGCTGTAGTAGGCAGATTAATGACCCTTCCCAAAATATCCACCTCTGAAACCCTATTGCGGTCAAGTGAATTCTGACTCATAGCCCCTTTAGGGCAGACTGGAGTGGCTCCCTTTCTGGAGCTGTAAATCTTCATAGGAGCCGAAAGCCTCACTTTCTCTCTTAGAGCAGCTGGTGGGTTTGAGTCTCTGACCTTGTGGTTAGCAGCCCTATGCTTTACTGACTATGCCATCAAGGTCCCTACATCCCTGTAATATGTTACCCTGTGTGGTGAAAGGGACTTTGCAGATGTGAGTCAAGTTATGGATCTTGAGGTGGGGCAAATATCCTAAACTATCCAGGTGAACCGACCTGAGTCCTTCAAAACCCATTCTCCCTCCGCTGTGGACAGAGAGTTCTGATGATGGAGACGGGGCAGAGAAGATGCCAAATTGTTGTCTTTGAAGATGGAAGGAGAGCACACGGAGTGCAGGTGGCCACCGGAAGCTGCAAAGGCTCAGAATGGAATTCTCCCTGAGCCTCCAGAGAGCAAGGTAGCTCTGCGGGGACTTTGGTTTTATGACCGTGAGATCTGTGTGGTATTTCTAACTGTAAGAATTGCAAGGTAGTACATCTTTTCTGTTTTAAGCCACTAAGTTTCTGGTCATTTGTTGCAGCAGCAGCAGTAGTAGAACACCGAGACAGAGGCCAAATCATCAGGATGGGAGGGACCTACAAGAAAGGAAATGAGGTTTTCTTACCCTGGCAACATTTGTCTTCTCTTCTAGGTAGTGGTTGAGCTGGGGAAATTTGAAAGGAGGCAGTTTAAAAGTTCCAGTGGGCAAAATGGACACGCGAAAGTAGAAGAAGAGCCCAAACATCTCTATCCACTTCTCAAGAAAGAAGCACTGACTCTGAATGGGGAAAAGACAGCTGGAACTGACAGCCACCCTGTTATGCTCTGGTGGTCCCCACTGACGGGGGAAACCGGAAGGCTAGGTCAGTGTGGGGCAGACGCTTGTTTCTTCACCATCAATCGGACCTACCTGCATCATCCCATGACGAAAGCCTTCCTCTTCTATGGTAAGTAGGGCTGTTGCCTTCTGTTTCCACTGCTCTGCTCCTGCACCAGTTTCTTAGGATTGTTGAATCAGTACGACTCATGGGGTGGTTTAAGACAACATTTCTTGAGGCTGGAAGTCAGGATTCCATGTATCTACAGGGCTGTTGTTGTACCATCAAGTTGGGTAAGGCGCATAGCTCCCCAATGTAAGCAGAATGAAGCACTGCCTGGCCCTGAACCATCCTTCTGAAGGCTCTGGGGAAAGATCCTTCCTGGTCTCTTCTCCGCATCTTGTAGGACTGACCCTACTTCATCCTGTAGGACTGACCTCAGGCTAATGAGCTGTCTCTGTAGACACATGCTTTCCACCTAAGGTCACACTCATAGGAACCGGAGGTTAGGATTTGGAGGAGACAAATCAAGGGCTCACGCCTCTGAAGGGAGCATTGGGTGAGCTCCTCTTGAGAACACTTGGGCAGGTGTGATTCCCTCGGCATTTGTTTCCCAGATGGCATGCGCATTTGGTAAGTATTTTCAGTGAGTTAGCCTGACCAACTTAGGGGGCGTGGGCTGGGCCTCTTGGCAATTATGGAGGGAAGTGATATTTCTTCTCACCTTTTTTTTTTTGCCATTAGGTACTGTGCTCACTGAATTTGACATCTAGTGTCTTGGGTATTGCTTACACTGCTGACAGTGATTCTGAATGTCACCTGTGATAGCAGCCAGGAGATTTTGATTCCCGTAACAGATGTTTAATTGGGCAGAAGTCAAGCACTCAAGCACGATGTTTTTGATTTCATTAGATTAATCAGGATTGTTTAGCATCAGCTTTCAGGAGCATAGTGGTATTTCTCACTTCTTGAGTATGATTGTATAGCATGCTGGGACGGAAGGGCAACCACACCCAGGGGTAGGTGGAGTTAGCAGAATGCCAGCAGCAGAGTTAGAAATATTGGGCTCCTGGGTGATGATGGTAGGAGTGAAAGGAAATACAAATTAACAAGATGAGCAAGGTGAATCTGTTATGTTACAAAGTCAGTGAGTGGAAACTTGATCCAGGGTGGATATGAATATATGTGTGTACATATGCCTGGGGGATCTAAAAATCTTGTGGAAATATTCCATTATCTTTTCATTTAATTTTTTCCCACCAACTTTTGAAGCCTTCCTATATCAAGAGCTCTGGTAGTGCAATGGTTACTTTCTTTGCTTTTACCCAAAAGATTGGCCATGGGCACCCACTGGTAGTGCGTGTCCCTGCAGAAGCCAGGGTTGGAGATTTGTCCATGTAAAGATCCCAGAAGAAAAGAAAGAGATTCCAGATGGGAAAACACGATTGGGCCCCTCTCCCGTGGAGGTGCTATGAGTTGGGATCACCTCAATGGTCCGAGGGTTTTAGTTTGCGCAGTTCCAGTTATTCCCAACAAAACACGTCTCAGCCGGCCTCGGTGATCAGTGGATGGCTGCAGACAGGTTCTCGCAGCATGCATCCATCTTAGCGTTCTTACGGTGGATTCCAAAGAAGGTCCAATCCAAACAACGGCTTGCTGGAAGATCTACGCGGGCAGTTAAATTCAAGGCAAAAAGGCCAGCTCAGGAGGGTATGGTGATTATTTTTGGGATCTCAAAAAGGGTGATGTTGATAGATTTCCTCAAAGGACACAGGACTAGCATGAGTCTCATTGGGAAGAAGTATCAAGAAATGGAAAACTGTACTGGTGATAAAAAGACAGCAAAACGGAGTCGAAGAATTGTTTTCCATCCTAACAGCACACCTGCTCATTCCTGAGGAGAGCTGTTCTATACTATGAGAATTTTGTTGGGGAACCTGCCTCATCTGCATTACTGCCCTCATCTTTCTTGTACCTTGAGACTTACTTTGGTTCCCCAAATTCAAAGAAAATTTCAAAGGAACACTACTTGAGGCCAGTGAGCATGCCAGCTTTGAGGTTGTGTAAAGGAAGCATGTAGAACACTTTGGGGAAGGGTCAGCGAGATGGGAACCCTGTCTTCAGAAGTGTGTAGACCTCGGTGGAGGAGATATTGAGAAACAGTAACTTCACATTTTGACTTTTGCTTTGTTTTTGCTTAATAAAGGTTTCTATGTTTTTGTAGCATTCTGACTTATACAGGTAGTCTCTGATTAATGACATTTTCTAATTACCAGGAACCACACTTTAGACCCTTTTGGGGGTAGATCCATCATTAGCTATATGATACAGCATTGCAATGTGTGATTTGCTGATAGTCATTCCCAGATGTTCACTCACAGATGTTCAATGCTATGATCTATAAAGATACTAGTAAGAAGCTTTGGGAAAATGGAGGTATTCAATTTATATCAGAATTAACTTACAATAGAGGAGTTGTCAGAATGTAACCCTATTTGAAGTTGGGACTACTGTATATATTGATTAAACAAACACTCTAAAAACTCATTGCCATCATAATGAGTTTGACTCCTCGTGATCCTATAGGATAGAATAGAATTGCCCACAGTGTTTTCCAGGCTGCAGTCTTTACAGAAGCAGACTTCCGTATTCTCTCTGGAGGAACAGCTGGTGGTTTCAAGCCACCCATGGTTCAGGTAATAGACGAGCACACTAATGACCACCAAGACTCCGATATATGTGTATATGTAGATGCACATGTGTATGTGTGTGTGTATATATGTATATGTAGATGCATGTTTCTCTGTGTGTCTCGGCATATTTCTTTATTTGTCTAGTGTTGGCTTTGGAAAGATACGAGTGGAAAGAATTGAAATTAGATCCTTTCAGTATTCTACTTAAAGATAAGTGGGATACGATAGAAACTAGACCCAGGAGAAATAAAGTCATAAATGTGTCCCATTTGTTGGTTGGGCTGCCGAGCAGTGAGCACTAGTGCTCTGGTAGAGGTAAGGAGCCAGAGAAATCCCAGGAGTCACCTCTGTCCACGACAGTGAAACAGCATAGATTTGAGGAGTGGAGGCTGTACAGGGCC